TCTCAGCTGTGATTTTTCTACAGCTAGTTAAGAAGATTTAAAAACTTTTTTTTTAACAAACTGATCTCTGCAAAGATGATCATAGTTTTCTGTGTGCAGCACTAATAAAACACTTGCAGGAGAGGGAATGGTGACTACAGCTTTCTGAGACAGCCACCCTGAAAACTGGCTCTGCGTTGTTTTTTTCCTTATGAGTAGTACCTGCAGTCTTGGGTCTTCAGCGTACCAGCCTTACTTGGGACAGACCTGGAGCAAGGAGCTCAGTGGGAATTTGTGAGAGGAGATAGAGTCCCAGGCAAAAACACACTGTCCTGCCAAATGTGCCCCACTGCTAGGGGCAAGAGGCTGCTGGTGGCTTCCATTTGCAGCGGTATAGCTCTCACCTTGAGCTGTGTGCAGATGCACAAGAAAAAGTTGATTCTGGCTTTGTGAAGCTTAAACATTAAAAAAAAAAAAAATCACTATAGTTGTTATTGTTCATACTGCAATGGCTGTCCAACCCCAAATACCTTGATCTGTATGAAAGGGGCAAGGGAGGCTTTCCTGCTAGCAGCTAGTCTTTTAGCCCTTAACAAATACTCCAGGAGGAAGGCAGTGCGAGGCAGGTGAGGAGGAATGAAATGCAGCATCTCCTAGGAGAAAACACAGTCTCTTGCACAGGTTTCAACATAGTCTCAAGCTTCAGAATGAAGTAAATCCTTTCCCTGCTCTTATAAAATTGTTCTTCTGCGGCCCCAGAATTTTCCTGTAGGTAAATACTAGATTTATTTTAAGATACCTGCCTGCAGGTATACTGCACTTATGCCTTATGATTTATTTGCAAATATTTGAATGCTCTAAGATATTTGATCTACAAGTGCATGTTCACATCCCCTTTTTTATTTTTTTCCCAGGAAGTTTTCCTAGAGGAAATTGGCAAGTATTACTTCTGTGTATTAGAAAACTCAGAAGTGCCATGCAGTTACCGTGTTTGCCACGGACATAGCTTGCACTGACACCTGCACAGCTTTTGTTTTCTCTTTTTCTTTACAGTTGCTTTCCTTTTCTGCCTGTTTTGGATCTGCATGTGACATGTGAAACTATGAATCTTTCTCTCTCAGTTTTCTGTCTTGAAACAAATGTGGATTCTGTTTGTCTAGGGAAGTGGAGGGAGCCCCAGCCTGGGCTCATTCTTCTCGCCTTTGCATTGGTCCCCTGCTGCAGGCTATGGACTGAAGGGAGAGCAGCAAGCAATGCCCACACTATTCTTCAGTCTGTGCTTTCCCCAGCCTGGTTCTGCCACTGGGGACTGGCAGGGGCTTGTTTGAGGATGCAGAGGTGTCATAGAGGTTTTTTTTTAAGTGACGCATTTCTAACACAGAAATCTGGTTTGCTAATGGAAATTACTGGTTAAAAATTAAAAAAAAAAAAAAAAAAAAAAAAAAGAGAGACTTGAACAACAAAAATGTTATTAGCTATGTAGAAAAAATGCCATTCTTGCACACAGAAAATCCTGACCATGAAGGCACTGAGTTATATGGATGCAATGTCTTGCCCGTCATTTGGTACCTTGTCACCCAAGTGTGACCACTGCTATGTGCTTCAGAGAACTCACTGAGATTCCCAAAGGGGCGTTTAGGAGAAGAACCAGCTGGTACAGAAGTTTCTGCTTACTCTTCCCTTCAGGGAATGGCTGACTCTTGGAGGCTTTACCTCTCTTCAGCCTGTCAAAGGCCTTACTGTTTTCTGCTAACGCAACGCTAGTTGTTTTGAGTCGTGTGTGTATCCAGTTTATTAATTTTCCATTCTACAAAGGGCTTAGCCGTACCAATACTTTGCAACAGTTAAGTTTCATGAAGTGTTTGTTGCTGCTGTTTTTTGATAAAGATAGCATTTCCTTTCCTCAATTCAAGCGTGCTGCTCTTTTAATTGCACTGATGCGATGATGGCTGTTTCTGTGTTTATCTCTACCCCATTATTTTTGCATATTCATGTTTTGCTTGTTAGTTGAGGCCGCTCTAGACTAAGAGATGATCTCTTCATAATGATGGCTCTTATTTAAGTTGATGTCGTTAATTTAAACCCTAAAAATACAGGAGCGTGTTTTGGATCATTCTTTCTGTTGTGCATTACCATACATTTGTGAAACGTATTTCATCTGCTGTCGTGTTCTCTCTTTACTCGTTGGGGTGTTGGTCTCAAAAGCTCTTCCAGCCACCTCCTCTATGGACTCAGCTAAGTAATGCACCTTCCATCAACTCACATGCCTTGCTGGTCACCTCGTGGTCAGCATCCATTTGGCTTTGATGGGACTTCCAGGTTTTCATCCTTTTTCATTAAGGTTACTGTTTGCTCACCTAAATATTTTGTGATTATTAATTATGTGGTTAAATCCTCCACACCTGGACTGAGGGCCAGCTGCATATGTCCTGTTTCAGGGAAGGAGGAGAAGCTGGAATATTTTGATCTTGTTAATTAGTACCTTTCACACTGATTTTTAGCTTAGTTTGTTGTAAAGAGCACAAGGAACCCTTGGCTTCAACTGTCTCTGAAACATAAATAACTGCTACAAAGGAGGTGTTTCCATTTTCGCAATTTCTCTTTTCATCAGGGTGGTATTTTATTCCAGGCACCATTTTGCTGGTGGCTGAGTGATGATACGTTTCTACTGTCGCACGGACAGATGGAGCAGGGAAAGAAGAAGAAATTGCTGAGTCTTTAATTAGCCGTGCAGAGCCAGAGCATGCTTTTCCAGTGCGTCGAGGGTTTTATATAGGGTGTGGAGGCTCAGCCGCTCGATGAAACCAAATTAGCAAAATTGTGTATCTACCACCAGCATGTTTCTATGGCAACTGTCTCTCAAATCATATATACAAACAGACCTGGCAGGGGGTATCGCCTTCTATTTGGTCTGTAGGAAACCATTGGAAAATGGGTGCTTTCAGGCTGCAAAAAGGCCTTGTGATGTAAATATTTTTTACTTTCTGGTGACTGGTATAAGTTTGGGGATCGTTGCTTGCTGCTGGCGCAATTCCAAATCTGTTTGTGTTTTTGCACGTTGACTGGCTGCTGTTACTCCCTCTAGGTGTGAGAGTCATCAGCAAGAAACTTGCATGGGGTTGGGAATGCACAGTTACCAGGCACGTCCTTTAGCTCATAAACATCTTGCCACTGCACATAATTAATAGCCTATCTACAGCCATGCAGGTAGACCATGTACTACGTGACTTTTGTGCTGAGAGAACCAAATTATACATTCATTTCTTTTCCCCTCATTCTTCTTCATAAAACAGCAGAAATCCAGAGGCTCTTCTCTCACCGGTGTACCTGATCAAATTAGCAGTGTAAGAACAGCCAAAGTGGCTGTGACTCTTCACCTAAGTGCCTCTATCTTTACAAATTCTTTCTACGTGTCACTTTTTCTGGTGGAAAAAAATGAATGAATGATCCATTTAGGCTACTGCCCTCTTTTTGAAATGTAGGGCAATTACTGTTATTTTTTCCTCATCCAAAGTCAGGCACCACTAAAGCACGGGTCATATCAAATCAGAGGTGGTTATTTCTTGTGGCCTTCAGTTCCGTGCGGACTCCTTTCTGTTTTTAGTCAGATAAAGGGGAGTTAGCAAGAGGCCTGTGCGAAATAATTTTTTTCAGTTATGAGTATTATTATGTTCAGTGAGTGGTAAAGTGCATAACGATACTTGTCTAGAATAATTCCTAAGCTTGCCTAGTAGCTCCAAGGGATAGTGCCTCTCTTAGCATTGGACTCGGCTTATGTAATGGGTTCACAAGAGACTGTAGACAGAAATGGTCTGTAAAGGTAGGTAAGACTTGCTACCCCTTAGTGCACAACCTTTTCCATTGTTAGAAGCTTATGCATCCCTTCAGTGAAAATGGCATATTGTGCATAAATTACAGGACTGACAGAAATGTACTCTAACCTGTAGAATGTGAAAACATGTTAAATTTTGTTTATTTTCTCTTTTAATAATCAGGGATTTGCCAAAAGCTTGGTGTGATTTATTCTTTTCTTTTTAATGAATTGTTAAAAATGTTTGAAAAGGCATTAAATCTTCCTTTCTGCTATTAATCTGTAAAAGGGAACGGGGATTTTAAATGGCCTCTTAGTATATTGCTTTATAAAACTGCTGATTCTAGCAGCACTGGAATAGGAATACATACTAATGCAGGAAACACTGAAGGCAGTCAGAGCCTCCTGCATTTATGGAGGAAAAGACTAATAGCTCCATTTTAACAAGGCTCTTAACACTTTGGGCCATCAGCAGGCATTGAGTGAGTGAAATTGGGAGAGCTCCTGTGTGCTAAAAGCATTGAAGTTCACCATTTTGTACCCCAGTTGGAGCCTTCCTGATAGAACTGTGCTCTCCAGCCAACTCCAGTTGCCATCTTGAAAACAAACCAAGTAGCAAGCTGGCATTTTGACTGAGTGCACTAATGCTTCACTTTTGAAATGGCACTGGAGCACGATAAATGCACTTAACTCTCAGCTGGATACTTAGCTTTGCAGTGGTGTTAGGGAAAGTTTCTGGGTTTCTGTTAAGAATGAAAGCAAAGCCTGCCTATATCATGTTTTATACTTGAGCAAAGCACACAAGTGGAGAAAAAACAGAAAACTTGGTACTAAAATGATATCTTTGATTCAAGTAGTTACGCCACTGGAATCAGAAGGGGTGTGTTTAATTAGATTACATCCTCATGGTACTGAATTCTAGGAGGAAGACCAGCCAGGGAAGGAGAGAGAGTATCCCGGCTAGCAAGCAGACAAGAAAAAGACTCTGAATATTGTACCTGTTCTAAATAGTTCTTTGATATGGAAGCCTTTCTTGTTAGCAGTGATAAGATTATGTATGGGATTTGGAGCTTCTTTGAGCCCCTGCCTTTCTTTTGTTGATTTTGGCATGTTGCAGCATCATGTGTTCTCTGCTTATCGTTTTGAGATGCATTGTTAGTAGCTGGGCTGCATAATTGATCTTCATCTCTAATTACTCTCCTCTCCACAGGTGCCTGGAAAAGGTCCAGATGGGAGCTCATACAATCTCCACTTCGAGGGGATGGAAAGGCAGTATGCATCCTTGCCCAGGTACAGCACCGAGCCTCATACACACACACTCTGGTTCACCCTCCCTCCAATGGGTAGGGAAATCAGCCCACAGCTGATGTCTGGCTCCAACGTGAGAGATTATTTTGCGGTTTTGTCTTGTCACCTTTTGCTTCAGATTTAATGCCATCTTTATAACTGTACTATTAATTTGGACTTTTGAATTCTAAAAAAAAAAGTCTCTCATTGAACATGTCAGCAGGAGTCATGATCCACAGGTAGAGAACATGACAGTGAGGAAGCTGGCTCTGCAACTCTGCAAGAGTTATAACAGGTCATAGCAGGGCATAAATGACTGAGTTTATAGTGATATAATCCTAGCTGGCATTGACAGAGCACTGCTGTGGAAAGCCTCTACTACAGCAGCCACAGCTACTGAAGCCCCACTGTTGCTGCAAGGACTGGCTAGCAGTCTTGTTCCAGTAGAGCATCTCTGTGCTTTAACTGAACACTGTGGAAATGAGAGTGAATTCTCTGAGGGCTTTTTTTAATTTTTAATCCTTATCAACTCAATGAAGAGTAATTCTAGTCTGAAACCAGTGAGGCATAACAAAAAGGTAGCATTTCAGAGTTTTCAGTCGCATTTCTATGGGACTTCTAATAGCGGAGTGTAAGACTTAGCAAATCAGAAAGGGGAGCAAGAGGGTGCTAGAAGAGATAGTGGGAAGAAAACAATAATAGCATAATATTCCTCTTTTAGAATTAGAAGGCTGGGACAGACCTTAGAGGGGTTGCTCAGTCCACTTCTTGGACCTACAAGCAAGATAATTTGTAAAAGCAATGCAAAAATAGCTATTTACAAGCAAGGAAAAATTCTTCATTGCGAAGTAGTGCTGGCATTTAGGAAATCAGTAAATAGTTTCTTTTTGCTTCTGTTTCTTTTTCCTCTAAGCTATTTACATTCCAAGATGTCACTGGAGAGACTGATTGATAAATATGTAATGCTGTGTCCAATTCCAGATGAAAATACAAAGAATATCTTACTTTTGGAAACCAGTGTGTATATATAGGCTGTCTCACAAGACGTTGTTGAATGTTTGTAGGCATCTTTAATGTATGTGGTTTCTAAACCCAAGGAGTGTCTGTAGTTGAGTTACTGCTTTCAAATGATACTTGTGTCAGCCATTGCTTTGGAAATTCATCTTGTGCAATAACTGACTTTCTAACAGAATCCTGCTTTTAAGCAGTGTATCCTGTATGTATGTCCTGACTGACCATGGATATTCTTACTCTTCTGGGTCAATAGCCATCTTTTTTTCGTAGTCCTCCAACACTCCCGTCTCCTGTCATGTTTTTAGCGGTGATTTTTGCAGGTTGGTTAGGTGTAGTTTAATTATGCACACTCTTTTTTATCTATTTTAAACTTCAGTTTTGTTGAGTACTTCTTGTGAATTACAAGAATGTATTAGCAGTTGATGTCCAGTGTCTCTACAGCAATTTTCGTATTCCTGTGTCATGTCTCCTTTTATTGGTTTTCCCTTCAAGCTAATCAACCCCATTTTTTCAACCTTTATAAAACAAACTTCCCAGTGAAGTAACTTCACCCAGAATTCTTTTTATTTCACCAGCATTCTTTTCAAGTGAGGATGACCAGAAGTGAGCACAACAGTGCAGATGCAATCGTGCCCTTGCTTTATGCAGCAGTGTTCTCTGTATTGCTTCCATCCCCTTCTTTTTCAAACCCACTGCATCCTCGGCATGTCCCCTAGACACGTGTACTGCTTGCCTCCGAACCCTGCATTTTTGTGTTGTTTTTTAAAAGAAGTAGGTCTGTCTGAATCAGATCATGAATTTCACAGTTTCTTCCCAAAACCTCCATTCAACTTGCTGGAAACATGACTCTCCAGCTCTTATGACAGGTTTGAGTATTTAGCTGGCTTGGGACTCACCATTTAGGATGTCATCCAAACATTCAATAAGCTTTTGAAGATCAGTGTGAAGAGTGTGATTTCTCTCAGTGCTGAAGAAGACCGTGCTGGAGGGTGAGAGGGCCTGCACTTCAGCGGGGTTGTGTGTCCTTCCTGACCCAAACACTACGCTGCCGCACGCAGGCTGTGCTGTTGCCACCATCTCCTGAGGGTTTCCACCCTGGCAGGAGCAGAGCTTTGGGACAGCGGGTCCTTGGGTGTGCCTGCATTTCAGCAATCAGCTGTTGCCTTCTGTACTTGGGTTTTTTAAGTTTTGCGGTTTCGTCTTACTGCAGTAATTAAGCTCTGGCAGTCACAAATGACTAGATTGCGACAGTGAAGTCTCAATCCAGAAGAAGGGGATGCACTCTCATTGCCAGTCACTAATGGAAACGAGTGATTTCTTTTGTTCTCGTGGCTGACTGCCCAGGAGTATAGCAGAATCCAGGTAACAACCACCCATTTGCCAACCTTTTCTCAGTGGAGGATCCATGAATGGGCATCATTATTAAATAAAAATATGGGAAAGAAATAGGAAGTTAGAAAAGAAATATAGTATTTCCTCAAAGAGCAGTGTTCTTCTCCACAGCATTCTAGTATTATAGTTCATGGTTTCCTGCCCGTGGGCTTATTCCTCTCCTTGTCTTGTCCTGTCCTGATCTTGGTCAACCCCCTGAGATGCATTTGGTATATAATTGTCTGCCTACTTAGCCGTTTAAGTCCAGTTTAATAAGAGATACTTAAAGAGGCTTCAGATGTGGTCAGTAGATGCTGGGAGACAGATTCTTACTGCAATATTGTGTTGAGTCCAGGAGGATATGACCTTTGCCTGCCGCTCTGGTGTGGCACACACAAGGAGAAGAGAGGAAAGCGCTTGGACTACAGCCAGCTTCACTGGATGAGGAGGGAGGAGGGGATCTGTATTGTGTCAAGAGTAGCTGTGACCTACACAGTGAAACTGTTCTGCTTACCTGGAAGCCAGCAGGAGTCATGCCAGCGTGTGTGGGCATGGACAAATTGAGTAAGAGAGCTTTGGTTTTCCTCCCCACTGGGCAAGAACGAGGAATGATCACTTGCCAAATAGTTTTATGAATGTCTGGTGCCCCTCAGGTGCTACCCGGTTCCTGTGCAAAGGCACGCATCCTACACGAAGGGGAAGTCACACTGCCAGCAGACATAGCTGCTGCTGGCTTCTAAAAACCTAAGCTTTGAAATATCATTGCTTCTTTGCCCTTTTGTTTTGTATTATTCTGTCTTTCTCTGAGGCTGTTAATTTAAGCCTAGATATTATGGCCCAAATTCAGGTGATATAAATCTGTATCAGCTAGCTGTATTTGTGGAATTCAGCTGTGTCAAGTGTGCTTGCCTTGTTGGTAGATGCAGCAGGAAATCCAGTGTCCCAGTCTCAGTGAGCTCAGTGATGCCCTTTTTGCCTTTGAGTGGAGGATCTGTTCCTGTGTAGGGTTATATTTTTAATTAAAAGCTGAAAACAAGAGGCAGCAGCCTCTGGAGGAAGGCTTTGCATGTGACTGGCTTAATGAGTGGCCAGATGAGTTGTGTAGTTCAGTTTCTAGGTAAAATAATATCAGTCTGTAGCCTTGGTTTGGAAATGTCTACAGAGGCAAACATCTGAATTAGATGATAAGTGGCTGTGGCAGGAGACTGGCAGGTCTTCATCTCACACTGCATTGTGCTGTTCTGTCTGCAGAAAAGCTGCAAAGTGGGAAAGACAGAATGGAAGGCTTTGCAAGAGAGATACACTTCTCTGCACTCAATACTTACGTGTTGCCCTGGGGCTACGGCTAAGTAGTGCTGAGTAGTAGTATTAAGCAATGTTAAATCCTCCTGTTCAGGAGGAGAATGGCTTTGATTCCGAGACCTCTTAGACTCTTCTGTTGGGAAGAGGAGCAGGGCAAGGGTGTGGGAGCCAGAAAAACATTTGTATTTTGTAAACTATTTTTAATGCCTGTTTTCTTGGTGTAATCCAGAGTATTTTCCTGATGGAGCCATGGAACAGATATGAAGCTGAGGCTGCTCTGTTTGTTCATAGTTTTATTTTTGAGCTTGCTTTTATGGAAATCTGTCTTAATGTAAATCACAGTCTTGCCAATGGCAGCCTTGTTTGGAGAAATCTCGTGTTCCGAGGACATATTCTTTTCTGTGTTGATGGAAAAGCTGGCTGGGACCAAAAGCAGACTGTCAGACACTGAGACGGGACACTGGTGACATGATGAGTGTAGATCAGAAAGTTTTGCCATCTTCCTAGTAAGAAATGCTGATTCCAAAGGAAAGCTAATACTCCAGACTTTCTCTGGAATCCTCGTATTACTGAAAAACAGGCATTTTTGTTGAGAAAAGGGGTGGGGCTGGAAAGGCAGTAAGAGCATTAGAAAATAACTGTCAGCATGGTAAAATTAGTTTGGGCTGTGTAGATGAGTTAAGCTGTACTGCTGTGGCTGGAAGGACACCACTGAGCACACTGGTAATTGGTTCACAGGAGTATCTGTCATAAATGTAACATGCATCTTAAAACTGGGCCACTTGCAAATGTATTAAGGAACTAGCCTTGCAGTACAGAGCTTCTCCTCAGATTGACTATGCAACTTGTGCTTCTTCAGGCAGTAGCTAATAGCAGCACATCCTCCATGTCTTGGTAGGAAGGCAGAAAGGGAAATTTTGATCACCTTGCTTGAGCCCTCCAAGACCTTCTACATTTCTGCATCAAACTAAACTTCAGTTTTGACCCATCACATTACTTTTATAAATGTATTTACAAAAGCATCTAACCTAGAATTAAAATACCACATTGTAGAGAATTCATTACATTCTTTAGAGGTTAATTATTTTACTGTTTAAAAAGATTATGCCTTTTTTTTTTTTCCCCTAAATCTGAAATTACCCAATTTCAGTTTCTAGATTCTATGGTAAATATTTTTTCTGATAGATTTTAAGAGTCAAGCCTGCAAAGTGCCTTCCTTTCAGTATTTCTATGCAGTGACCATTTATGTTACCTTTTAACCTCCCTTTCAATAAATTAAATAGATTGAGAACTTAGGTCTTACTCTATAAAGCATG